CGGTGGGCTGAACTGCACAAAACGCGTGATCGCACCGGCTAGTCTGGTGCGCGTTGCCATTTATTTATTTTTTTTTCGAGCTGCTTAACCAAACAAGATTTCTTTGGTAGCAAAGAACAAATATACAGGATTTTATTCCAATCCCCACAAATATCATATTTAATAATAATTTATAAATAAAATGAAATAGCAATTAGCGATACTGCACATATTCAATGAATGTTTATAGTCATTAAAACATACCATATTTAAAAAACATACTTATAATTAATGACAATTAATAAAAAACACCACTGCTTTTAATCCAAGCAGTGTTCTATTGAGCATACTTAATATTTGCGCCTATTACCAGAATTTCCTCTTTATCCTCTTCCCTGCTATTCTGGATGTCTCCCATTCTTGGACTGTAATCGATGGAAAAGTTACTGGTGTCATACATGAATCAACAACTGTTTTAAGTAATTCCGTAGGTACAATCAAAATTCGCTGATATCACCTGTGAGAGCTGGAAAAAAAAGACAATCAAGTGCATCATAACCTTTTTATCTAGCAGACGTCGCACTCTGGTTCTTTCTCGCCGTTCATCGTCCATTATGAACACTCCTAAGCTTACAGCAACATCCATATCACCATTCTCAGTCATCGAACCACTCAATTTTAGTTTTTTCAATCGCATTGTTGCAAAACTTGCGCCAGCTCTACGCGCAATCACCCCTTTTGCATCCTCCTGAAATGAATTAACGTTCAACGTTTATAATCAAAGATGTGTCGAAGCTAGTGTTCAGTAAGAAACCAAGCAAAAAACCATAATAACTGAGATCAAACGTGTTAAACTGCACCTAAATCAGTAAAAAAAGAAAAACAAAAAAAAGAAGCCAATCTGTTGTGGGATGCCGAATTTTGGATTTTTATGCGTTTGCAGCAATGCAATGCGGAAAACGCATATTGACGAGAGGTTGTCTGTGTGTCCGTGTGTCTGTGTGTGCGTCTGTCACGCACTTTCATCTCAGAACCTATGAAAGCTGCGGGGCTGAAATTTTGGGGACTTAATCTACATGCACGTGCCGGCCCCAATCCCCAAAATGGGCGCCAAAACCCCCTTGGTACCCATGTACGGGCCCGCCAAAGTTTTTTTGAGGTCAGTTCATAACTCGAGGATCTGAGAAGCTAGAACACTGAAATCTTGCAGCAATGTTCCCCGTCCAAGTGGGTATTAGTGGGCTCAAACCCAGCCCCCGGGTAGGCGTGGTACCCGCGTACGAGCCCACCAAAATCTTTTTCGGGTAAGTCCATAACTAGGGAATCTGAGAGGCTAAAAGGCTGAAATGTTAGGGCAGTGTTCCCCGCCAAAGTGGGTATTAGTGGACTCAAACCCAGCCCCCGGGTAAGCGTAGTGCCCGCCAAAATTTTTTTCAGGTAAGTTCATAACTCGGAGATCTGAGGAGCTAGAAGGCTGAAAACTTACGGTAATGTCCTCTGCCCAAGCGAGCATTAGTGGGCTCAAACCCAGCCCCCGAGTAAGCGTGACACCCCCATACGGGCCCGCCAAAATTTCCTTCGTGTAAATTGATAACTCAAGTACCTGAGAAGCTAAAGGAATGTAACTTTAAGAGGATATACCCCGTCCATTTATGTTTCATTCAGCTCGAAACCAGCTCTCAGGTATGCTTGGTAAACGTGCACAGGCCCGTGAAAATTTCGTTCCAGTAAGTTGCTAATTCAAGTGCAAGGGACGCTAGAAAAGTGAAATTTTAAGGGGATGTTTTCTGACAGTTCTGGCGGCCAATCTTAAATTCTTTTAGCCAGAAGCATCTGCAGGGAAAACCAGTCTGTCAGCGACCAGTACCTGCGGCGAGCCATGTAAAAGTGCATCTTCGCACAGGCTCCCCGTGCGTTGGCCAACTACTATTTTTATGCGTTTTTGCCGTGCAGCGCCAGAGCACTGCAACAGGCAGCAAAAACACGTATTGCAACGACCCTGTCAGTGTGTGTATGTTTGTGTGTGCGTGTGTTCGTCTGTCCGAGTATTTCAACCCGCTAACCGCGTAAGCTTTGAAGCTGAAATTTTGCTAGTGTGTTCCCCAGCCGGGTACCACCCCAGGACCGCAGTTTCAACCCTCACGCACGTCTGGGCGCCGCGTACGAGCACGCGAA